CTCATTCTATAAACCTACCAAGCAGGTGATAATTATGTGACTTTACTAAAACAGAACTAGAAAAGCCCTTAAAAAGTGAAGTGAGCATTGATGAATTAGTGAAAGCTCTCTATTTGAAAACGTCATGCCGTGTTAAGCACTTAGAACATTCTGCGAGACCAACTTTGGAGATGAATGTCACTGAGAGGCAGTGGAAGGTCAAGTGGTACTTAAAGTGTTTTGTAGATCCCAACATACAAACTCAGCTGGTCCTCTTTCCTCTGCGCCTCCTCTACGTGTCTTTAACTTTCATCGTTTAACCACATTCTGGCGAAGCAGTAAGGGGGTGGCGTCGAGTTAAATAAAATGTATGTCTCGACACTTCAATCGCTTTTCTTGCCCAAAATATTCTTTTATCCACTTGTGGAGTCTTCCTGCTGGGGAAGAGCAGGGTAATTGAAATCACCCTGTGGTTGTCTCATAAGACTTGAGGCTAATGGCTGCTCTGGTCCCTGTCAGTCAATGAAGTGCCCTACCTACTGGCTTTTCTTTTTTTATACCCGTCTTCTTTTCTGTTGTCTTAAAAGAACAGAAAAGAATGACCTGCACAGCGAGATCCTGCACTGCTACAGCTCCCTCTTTTCATGACTTTCACTGCAGTCCAAGCATAAGAACTGGAGCCATCAGTGCCGAGGCATACGCTGATAAATCACTAAAAAACAGGATAGTAGGAAAAGACAAGATAAGGAGATAATAGTGAGATAATGGGTCTGTGCATATTAGGAGAGATGGTTGGATTTACATTGGCAAGCATGACAATTGCAACCTTTAAATGATATTTAAGAGAGCCTGATTATCCCTCCAGGTAATTAAGTTAAATTCTGGGGACGTTTAATTAGAAATAAGTCTTCCAGGCAAGAAGCCACAGCCGATGGTAATTTAAGTAATTTTGCCCTAGTGTCAGAACTCTGGCACCCTCAGCCATTATTTCTCTTTCCATCTTTCATTTCCCTGCACTCTTTGTTTTTCACATTTTTCAGCATCAGCAGAGCACTACCAGGTTTCTTTTTCACAACATTGCTGCAGTGTCGACAAAACAAACTGTGGATTTATTTGACACAGTTTGTTTAAGACCTAGCATTAAAGCGACAGTAGCGTCAGTGAAGTTGTACTCGCAAAGACCGTATTTATGTAAAATGAGAAAAGTTGGGTTTTGTAAATGGGTCCACCATTGTTTTATCCGTTTCAGCCAGTAGCACCTTTTCACCTGTGGCGAAAATGGATAAAAGCAAATGGCATGCTCCAAATGCAGTCTTGTGACCGGTGAGCCTTTAAGTACCACTGAGTATTGTGATGTGGCAAAAAATTGCATCTATCAATTTTAAAACTTCAAAGAGTGCCGAGTGTGTTCTGTAAATGGCAATCCATTCTCGACAAGTGTGAGAAAACAGCATGGGCGTGGGGGTCAAGGGGGCAGTTAACGTTATACAAATCATTTTCTGCCATTTAATGAAAAAATAAAAGTGTTTTTTTTTATGAAAACAAGTGAATACTCACTAAAGTAGGGAAATATCACTAAAAGCAAATAAAGTCACAGCAGTATGAGAAATAAAAAATAATGCTGGATGGAGATTTTTTTTAATGGGGACACTGTGGCAATATTCTATTTAAAGGAGATGCTGTGTAAGTTGCAATAGTAGTGGTATTGATCATTGTAAGTTATTTGCTTTTTTTCTGCAGCTGGACACTAGAGCATTTGCAAAATTCAGATTCATTATCTGGTGATGGTGCAGTGGTTAGCATTGTCACCTCACAGCAAGAGGGTTGCTAGTTTGAATCCAGGGTAGGGGAGCCCTTCTGTGTGGAGTTTACATGTTCTTCTCGTGTCAGCGCGGGTTTTCTTTGGGTCCTCCCACAGTCCAAAGACATGCAGGTTAATTGGTGACTCTAAATTGTGAATATGAGCGTGAATGATTGTCTGTCTCTATATGTCAGCCCTGTGATAGTCTGGAGAAAGTCCTAGACCTGTCCAGGGTGTACCCCGCCTCTAGCCCCACCGCAACCCCCAACAGGATAAGCAGTTACACAAAATGAATGAAAGGATGAATAAATATTCTCATTATCTCCGCCAGGTGTAAGCTATCTGGCAAACTACTGGTCCAATCAGCCTAATATTTTGTGTGCACATATATGACTCTATACTCAAGGACCCCTTGTGGTTGCGGTGATTCATAATTGTTAAAAAATGTGTTTAATTGACTATATCATAGCATCATTGACTGCCATCTCCTCACTCATTTTTCATTTATCATTATTATCTTTCCTTGATATTTGCGCTTCAAGCCTTTAAGGCTACATAGTTAAGTTGTTTCTTTTTTGTCTGCTTCAATCGCATTTATTATTTCCTGCTTTGTTGTGCTGTAGCCTACTGACCAAACTGATAGTGTTAAATATCCAGTTATGAATGATATTGGTCAAAGATTTGTGGCTATGTTTTAGTCATTAAAAATACATTCATCCTCATAATTATATTGTATCCACATTTCACTGCCAGTGCCTTTTAGCAGGAAAACTTGGTTTGTTCTGTGAAACACAGTGCAACTCTGTGAAAAATAGATAAGGCATGTATTTTTATTACTTTCTGGGGCGTCTCTGAAACATGCTGCGGTGTGTCTGCTGGAATTACAAGAATTGTCCAGAGCAGCTGTGATCAGTCCAGGTGACTGCTTGGTTGCTCTGCACTCTAAGTGCACCTTTCTAGTTCACTTTGTAATTGCCTGTTTAGACACAGTAGTTACGTGTCATCTGTCTGCAACATTTAGGAGCGCCAATGAAATCAGTGACCACAGGAGCATTTTCAATACTTAGAGTCTAAGTGGTGCAAGTACTTGCTTGTACACACTGGTCAGTAGAAACAAGACATTTTGACTGGATGTCAACAGTAATTTTTTTGTGATATTAACAGCTACAGTAGTTTTGAGACAAACTCTGACCTTGACACACTGGAACATTCTCAGATATGAGCTGACCACTAAGGGTTTAATGTGCTGCAGTGTAGAGGTGAAGCTGCTCAGGGCCTTCTACACAACTTCTGATTAGGACCTTTGTTTCAAAGTCTTTACAAAGCTTGCCGTCTGGGCTCTGAGGTGGAGCTGCCTGGCAGGAGGCCTGTTCACCCCTGAGCTCTGCTCAGACTTCTAAAGCTCAGCTACCTTTGATGAAGGCATGAAAGTTGTCATGGTGCCAACAGGCTCTGGCCACCACTGCACATCCACATTGCTTTAATGGAAACTATTCAAAGTCTCAGCAGAGCTCCATTTAAAACGCAACAGCATTGATGCAAGCACTAAATAGGGAAAGCCTACAAGGGAAGAAAGGAAGCCGCCCTAAAAATGGTTCATTTATATACATGGCATAAGGGCTTAAAAGATGCATACGTGCATGCAAAAGTTGGGATTTAGCAACACTTGAAAACAGAATGTGCACACCTACAGAAACTTGTGTACAGATGCATTGTGGAAACAATGGCAATTACAACACCGGTGTCACAGTGGTGAAATAGTAGTGAAATAAAGGATCTTTCTCACAGAAGTATTTTTGTACCATGGCAAACACAGTCTATACAACTATTCATGATGACCTTTTAGGCCTGAAACAATACTTTTCTGTTAGTTTGTTCAACAAACCATATCTGAAATGACAAGCAGCCAATGAAGCGTGTCATTTGGTGCATACCAAAATTGCTTTCACCTATAGCAGCTTTATCCATTTCCAGGTTCTTCCCTCTGTGGAGCAACACCACTGATAAGGCAGACTGCACTATAAAAGCAAATGCTCAGGAAGGGCATCAAGCTCCGCTGTCCCCTGATGCCCACCACTGTGGCCTGTGCTTTGCTGGTGTGTAAGAACACACTGTTTGCCATCGACTATATATAACAATTTCTTCTTCCTGGAACGGTGCGGCTCTCTGAGGTTGTGTTGCTAACGGCTGCTGTGACATGCTGCCCCTCAAGATGTTTTGTCTTATTGGTTCAGTCATTATTCAATTAGCAAACTGTGCAGTCCACCTGGCCTAGAGTGTTAATACTGCCGGGTATCTTTAAATGTAGTCATAGTCCTGAGATTAGAAATCCATGTCAGTTTAAGTCATGTTAGATAATGTCTTCTTTCTTATCTTAAGTGTGCAACATTGTAAAAATAGATAATCCCTACTAATAAGACAAATGGTTTGTCTCATCAACCAGCACAATTCAAAAAGTGTGACCCCTCAAATGAACAGAACAGTCACAAGCCCCTCTATTTAAATCTCTAAAGCCCAGTTCAGACCAAGGATTCACGACGAGACGTGTCGAAACAGACAACTACTTGCAACGCGCCATTCAACAACGCCCTTAAAACCGGCCGGTTCACACCAATGCAACGACATAAGACGATGTATCATCTCTATGCAATAATTGTGTGCACTTCTGTTCTGATTTGCAGCTTTTCAGACTGATTTTGTTGCTGAACAAAATTTGTAGCTTCTTAAAATATGAATGAGGATAGTGATAGTCAAATACTGGCTTTAAATAAGCAGCTGATTAATTTTCTTATCACTAAACGTGATTTCCTCATGAATAACATTTTGATTCATTGTGACTTCTAGAGAAATTTGCATGCAAGTGACACAAGTATATGGACTGGATCAACAATCAGAGGACCCATGGTTCTTCTTTTTGCTTTTATGTGGAATGTATGTGGCTCCATGTTTTTTTTCTTTCAAAGCGAGAGGAACAGTGAATGCAGGAGGAGTTTTCTTCCTTCTTACAGGTGACACATCATGGCCCTTTTTCTCTGGTTCATAGAGCACAATGTGTTTGTGTCACAGGAAGATTTCTTTGTACAGATAACCAATAAAAAAAAGACAGATGAGTGAATAATTTTGAAAGGAACTTTAACCCTGATCTTCTGCATTACATAGGCGCCCTATTGTGTTAAGAGAGGAAATGTCTCGACTGATGATTGTGATTGTGTGTGTCTACCTGGAAGCTCTTTATCTCCCTTCATCCATCTGATGGTGGCGGCAGGCTTACTGCTCATGGCAGTGCAGGTCATCTCAGTCTCGTTGCCCTCGCTCAGGACCTCATCCCGAGCCTCGATGATGGGGTTACCTGGAGGAACTACGACAGGACAAACAGAACTCTGTAAACACTGGGGGAAATATAATACTTCTACACTCTGAGCACTACATGACAAGAAAATATCAGAACTAAAATAAAATACTGTAGAGGTTTTTTTTTTTAAAGTTTGACATTTTTAAAGTAGGTTAGATGACAATTAGAAAGGTGCAGAACACCCATAAGCCAAGACACTAAATCCAAAATGTCCTTGTCCATATTACTTATTTATTGCCTTTACTTATAAATAATTATTATTAAAATATTAGTATTTGTGACTATGAATAACCAATATAAAAACATCCAAACACAAACATGCTTAGCAAACATTATGTAAAGCCCATACAGATGTACAGGAACATATAATGAACAATCAAAAAAAAAAGACGGTTTAACGGACAAACTCAAATTAATATCATATTATTAATATTGTTGAGCCATATTTGAAAAGATGAATATATATATATATATATATATACAAATGTAGTATAACTACTGCTATTGTTGCAAGCTACAAAGTCCACAGCTCAGTCACAAGAAGAAAATGTCAGCACTATTAGCTTCTGCAAATTACAGATAAGTTTCGTTTTTGCGTTCCATATGTATCATATGTATGAACATGACTTAGTTCAGATTACATGCATATGAGCTGAGTTTTTTATTAGGAGGAGGGGATGGTGGATGGCATGACACCTAGGTGAGACAGCCGCCAAGCAGCAGACCACTGTAGCCATGCTTTTTAAAGATACATTGTGGGGTCAACAACTGAGAAATTTTAAGGCAATGTACAGGCATTTCAAGCAGTGATTGTGGTGACAGTGACCTGTTTTTTTTTTTTTCAGGTGATATCACTACATTTCTGGCAGTGGTTGTGGAGACAACAATCCGGTATTTTATAAGATGGCTGGCGCATTTCTAGCAGCGATTGTGGCGCCAGCGACCTGGTATTTTTTTGGCAAAGTCAGCACATTTCCAGCGGTGATTGTGGCAACAACAATTGAGTATTCTTAGGGCAATTCTGGCAGTGACAACAACTGGGTATTTTTTTAAGGTGACAGTGGCACATTTCTAGCGGTAGTTGTGGCAACAGCAACCTGGCATTTTTTAGGTAATGTCAGCACATTTCCAGCGATGGCTGTGGCGACAAGAACGTGATATTTTTTAAGGTCTAACACATTTCTAGCAGTGGTTGTAGCGACAACAAGTTGGTAAATTTAAGACAATGTCGGCACATTTCCAGCAGTGGTTGTGGTGACAACAACTGTGTATTTTTCAAGGCAACATCAGCACATTATTAGCAATGGCTGTGAAAGAGTGAAAGTGGCGACAATAACCGGGAACTGCCCATTGGTCCGACAGCCCATTGTTCCGACATCCCATTGTTCTGACCATATTAAACCCACTGTTCCGAAGTCTGTTCCGAAATCATCATGATGCCCTGTGGTTAAGGTCTGGTTAGGTTTAGGCACAAAACCACTTGGTTAGGGTCAGGAAAAGATCATGGTGTGGGTTAAAATGAAAAAGAAAGTGGCAAACACATAAGCAGTGAGCCTGCTCCGACTCAAGCCTTTCCCAGCTGACCCAGAGCTGTAATGGGCTGTTGGACCAATGACATGAACCCCAATAACCAGGTAGATCTGGAACATTTCTAGCAGTGGTTGCAGCGACAAGGTGGTATATTTAAGACAATGTCGGCACATTTCCAGTGCTGGTTGTGGTGACAACAACTGTGGATTTTTCAAGGCAACATCAGCACATTTCTAGCAATGGCTCTGACAACAACAACCTAATCTTTTTTTAAGGTGACAGTGACACATTTCTAGTGGTGCTTGTTTGGACCACAACCAAGTCTTTTTTAAGGTCTGGAACATTTCCAGCTGTGGTTGTGGTGACAGCAATCTGGTATATTTAAGAGAATGTCAGCACATTTCCAGTGATGATTATGGCAACAACAACCAGGTATTTTTTAGGTGATGTTGGTACATCTCCAGTGGTGGCTGTGGCAACAACAACCAGATCTTTTTAAAGGCAACAATGCCACATTTCTAGCGATGCTTGTTTGGCCAGTATCTGGGTATTTTTAAGGTGACGTCAGCACGTTTCCAGCAGTGGCTGTGGTGACGACAACCAGGTATTTTAAACCAAAACATCTTTTCCTAACCATAACCAAGTGTTTTTTGTGCCTAAACTAACCATATGTTAACCACAGCATTGTCAGAACACAAAATTAAAAACTGAAACATAAAGAACGAATAGTTGCAACATTTTTCGCTTTGAAGAAGTGTACAATGCCAGCATTTATTCTGGCTCATGGGTTGAAGTCCAAATCCAATACTGTGTTAGAAATCTCTTGTTAAGAATGAGTCACATTTATTTGATATGATCACCAAAACACTGTAAAACTGCTCATCTCCAATTGGCTTTCAAAACTCTCACAGTAATATGTAAAATAAAGCAATATGTCTAGACTCTGGCAGATAAAATAAAAAAATCCACTGATTGGTTATCAGCTGATGTTACTTTTGGATCTTCCCATACACTCACTAATCATATCACCTCTTGAGGCACTTCATTCTAACTGATAGTGTTATTTAAGAGAACATGAAGCACACAATTACTGTATTTTGTAATTTCCTCCTCAGGTTTTGGTTTAAATGCTTTTCATGAATATGTGAAGAGGACACTTTCAAGCTAGAACAGGATGATGCTGCTCTTTAACGAGCTCCTCTGCAATGAAAAGTTGATGACAGCTGACCTCATCGTCAATCAGAATGTCGGCAGTAAAAAAACCCAAAAACGCTTTCATCATTTTATGGCAAACTCTGAGCTGAGTTTTACTCTGTTCATTTTTAAACAATGTAAGCTGATTAGCTGTTGCTTAGAGGGGTCATGTAATTTTAACTCTCTCCTACACACACCATTAATGTCATGCATAGTCGCATACCACGGCTGCTGTTCAATATTATTGTATATCCTCTTTCAGTGAGCGTATCATGATGGTGTGTTCATTTTGTGGAAACTCATTTCCCCGATTGCATTGAACACCAATCTGTTTTATGTGATTTCACACACATTTAAGCCATATCGATATTGGAAGAAATATAGTAATATCTCAATATGGATTTCAGCATGCTGTGCAGATATCTCCCAGCCCTAATGCTCACTACTGAAACCACAGGCATACAGCTAAATCTTGCATGGGTATTACTTAAACAATGCACACCATATTACAGTGGAACTGTGCACACAAATACAATTCATTACACAGGTGTGTGTGTCTTTTCAGCAGCCTGTATTTCAGCACAGAAATCTAACAATATGATAACTGGCCTCATATTCTTGCAACCTGGCTGCTGTATATTAGCTCATTTACACACTACAACATTAAGACAAGACTTAATAAGCACATATGAAGCATGGTTTATCCATTTCAGACTTGACTGTAGCGGCTGTCAGAGTCTCTTGGAGGTTTCACAGTGAGCCGCCACTATGTTGCTCAGCATGTCAGTGTCTGCTGTCTTCCACTGTCTAAATGTTGATTAAGAGGCTTTACCTCCCTGCTACTATTAGCATCCAGTGTTTATGCATTTCTCTCTATGTGTATGTCTGCGTGAGTGCGTGCATGTGTTTTGCTGTTTTACTTAGCACGGTGATGTCGGCGTAGGCTTCCTGCGGGGGATCCGTGTAGAGCTGGCAAACATATCGACCCTCGTCTGACAGCGAGACATTAGACAGCGACACCCGCAGCTCGTTGTCTGAGAAGTTCACCAGCTGAAAGCGAGCGTCTTTCAGTGCTAAAGGAGAGAAAAATACAATAATATTTAGAAGTTATGTGGCATATTTTTAGACATACAGGAAGTACACATATGCTAATAACAATAATCAACAGCAGAAATGCTGACTGAAGCATCAAATGCTATATAACAGTAACCTTTACACCCTGGCATTAGAGGAACCACGTAGGATTTGGAGCCCCTTTTTTTATATGATCTCTCAATTTCAGTGGGACAAACATAAATGGACAAACCAGACTTCATCATATATCAATATTTGCTGTCAAAATCCTTTGCAGCGATTGACTGTTTGAGGTCTATGACCCGCACACATCAGAAGACGCTATTGTAGCTGGCATCTTTTCTGTGATGCTGTGCCAGGCCTGTGCAACAGCCATCTTTACTGCTAGCTTTTTATATATTTTGTTTGTTCGTTTGCTCAGTGGATTGAGGTATTGTGGTCAGATGACACAGCTAGTCGAGGATATTTCATAGTTACCATTCTCCCGTCATCTGCTGCTGACCTGACAATCAGACATTTCTGCTTCTATTCTGATCTGCTCTGTGCAGGAAGATGATGTCCCCATTGTTAATCCCATATACAGAGCTCTGATCAGATCAGATGTTCCAACAATGTTGTCTAAAGCCGATTTTGACATTGCAGAGGATCTTGAGAGCCACCTTGGGTTGGAGGTGAGTCGGCAGATAGTCTGCCACGACGAGTCCTCATGTGTGAACAAGCCTACGAGCAAGTCGCCCCCTCATCTGCGACTGGGACTGGATATCTGGCATGCTAGAAAACTGGAGAGTTCTGACACGACTGACAAAGAGCATCAGACAATGAGAGGCGGGATACGTCCCACGTCAGCATGCAGGAGGACTCAAGAAATGTAAGGAGGACAAGCCGGCAAGCAACAACAATAATGGTGGCGTCCCCAGGATCAGGAGCTGTCGGACATCCATTTTGACAAGTAAAGTTTAGTGCCGGGGAACTTCACAATATCCTGTTTTATTCACGTGTGATAAAACGGAGTTTGGTGATATCACTGCGTTATCTTGGGCTCTGTCGGCAAGGGCTTGGTGGAAAAACCTTGTGGTGTGCACACACAGGTCGTAACACAGTTGGCGAGACTCCCAATGACAGAAACACACATTGCCAGGTATGAACACTCAAAAGATTATGATAGTCTCCACAACTCAAGACTGGTTGGCCAGTTGTGTAATGTGAACTCACCTTAACTTAGATAGTAGATAGAACTTATGGTGAGAGCAACAAAAAAATAAAACCCAAGTTATATTAACTGCTTCTTTTCCATTAAGGTTTGACCCATAATGCAAAGGAAACTGTCCTACAATCCAGGGCAACAATTTATATCATTTTTATATATCTTTGGATGAATCATTTGGTCCATAAGATAATGAAGAATGCTTGTCACTCTTTTCTCAAGCCCATGGCAATGTCATCAAGTTGCTTTTTTTGTCATGAGCAATAACTTCTTAAAGTTAAATGAAGACAAAACTGAAATCCTGCTTGTCGGCCCAAAAACAAAAAGAGAAATGCTTCTTAATAATCTGGGGAATTAAACTCCCTGGATTAAATCTGTGGTTACAAGTCTTGGTGTGATCCAAGATTCAGATCTAAGCCTCCAGTCCCACATTAACAAGGTGACAAAAGCACAATTATTCCACCTCAGAAGCATAGCTAAGGTACTCGGTACTTTTTGTACTTGGTACCGATTCACGTCAGTACTACCGAGTACCGATTCACTTAAAATGAATCGGTGCCAAATTTCGGTATCTGAGGTGGAGGCGGAGCAAGAGCGCATGTCTCGCACCTCAGACTCAGCAACAATGCCGACAAAAAAATTGTGCAGACAAAAGTTAACGTGCAGCACTGTTCCTAAATGTTCTCAATAAAATGTTGAAACTGAGAAGTTTAGACTATGGGCCCGAACGACGCATAGTGTGTCCAAATTCACACCCGTTCTTCTCTGTGGATTTTCTCTGCGACCCTGTGTCATAGCGAGAAGCCACGCATATCACGTGAAACGGCACAGCTGTAGCCTTCCGACAAGGCTGAGCACTTGTCGGTAGTCCAATGTTTTCACAGCGAAAAAAAGTTGATAAAGTTACAATAAAATGATGTATAACAGAGCTTTCATACAGCTTTGCGCACACATTACTCTTGGATGGATTACTCGCGAACACAGGCTCGCACAGCAATGCCATGCATATCACATGAAAGCGCAGGACTAGACCTTTCCAATGATACCACACACATCATTGTGCTGTCATCCCATCACGCTATAAATCCAGATCAATTGTCTACAAAATAAAAACCTGACGAATTTCTTTACAATCCATTATACAGATCTTGTTATCAGTCACTTCATATAGTGAGGAATATCGTATCTTACCACGTCTTAGGCTTGCGTGTGTTTCTCCCTGTCTATTCACATTTGTAGTCCGGCTTTCAAGATGCAAATATCTCCATATTGCCCAGTTGACGCTCCAGCAAACTGCTGACAGGGCCGTAGTCACCATATACATTGAGGGGGACACGTGCCCCCCCACCAATGCCCAAAATGTCCCCCCAATATATAACTGAAACTGAAAAACAAATATTATCTTGGAGGACATCATTGCACTTGGTTGACTATTTTTCTATTATATTAGATATAAATATTGCATGTTTCTTTCAGATAAAACACATTTCTGAGTTGTGAATGAGTCAATGGAATTTCTTGCAATAATGAAAAAATACTGTCAATCATGTCCGCCTGGCACAAACCACATGTTTTGGACAGCTGTGAAGTGACAGAATGTCCCACCATCATGGTTCTTATATTGCCAGATTCCAGAGAGTCTCCCCTCTTCATATATGGCAGAATATGTCTTCTTCCAACTTGCTATGGTGAGATACATGTAAAAATGTAAGAATTTAGTAACACGGATTTGTTTTTTTCATTGATATAAAAATTAATATAAAATACAGGCACATAGAAGGACATGGAATGATGGCAAATCTGGTTAGCCCAGATTGTCCTGAAAAAAAAACAAGATATAGCATGTGTATGTAGCCTTCATAATGACTGTGATATGAGCTTAAAAGTAAAGGCAGTAAAAATACCCCAAAAAGGCCTAGGGCCCATACGGTTAAAAAGTACTGAAATAAGGTTCCGTTTGGTACCGGTACCGAATTCCAGATACCGGTACCGGTACCGTATTGGTTCAATTATCAACGGTACCCAACCCTAACAACCATTTCTTAATGAAAGAGATGCAGATGCAGCACACATCATAGCTACCTATAGATATCAGAGAAGCTAGCTCACTAAATATTTTCAAAAGAAAGCTAAAAACGTATCTGTTCACTTTAAACTTTAACTAGCTTTGACTTCCTGATGCAGGTCTGAAGCTCTCTTATCACCCTCTTACTTTCTGTTTACGCTTCCTGCTGCTGCAACTCTTTTAAAATCTTTCTTGATTTTATCACTTAAAGTTTTACAACTCTGTGATTTTGTGAATCAGTTCTGTTTTATGTCCATTATGTCTATTTTCATGTGACGTTTATACTACCCAGATTGGAAAGCACTTTGTGTTGCATTTCTTGTATTAAAGGTGCTATGTAAATAAAGTTTATTATTATATTATTATTATATTGTTATTATTGTCTAACCAGCACTCCAGAAGCAAAAGATTCAGTTTACTGTCACGTAAGACAAAAAAAGCAGCAAGTCCTCACATTTGAGAAAAAGGAAATAGGGCTTTTTTGTCTGAAATATTTTTCAGATGAACAAAATAACTGAATTCTCCTCTGTCAATCAATTAATCAATTAACCATGTCAATCCTACAGCAGTGACTGTTGTAATTAAAAAATGAAAAACACAGCTTTCCTTTCTAGTCATCAGAGTAACAGATGAGATAGGAGCAACAAAATGGTTTAACCATGGCCGTTCATTATGGTGCAAAATATATAAATAAATAAGAATGTACAAACAGGAACCATCGAAGAAGCAATTAATTCTCATTACTGGTAATTCAGACAAATAATAATACAAGAATAATGATAAGAGGTTGCTGTCTTTTGTCTGTGTTTTCATTCATCAGAGGCTCTCAGAGTTGTTTCAGCTCCTCATAGAATCACTCGCTCAAACCTGAGAGCCATCCAGCCGTCCTGCTTTTTTTTTAGGTGTAGGCCTGCTTGTTTAAAAATAAATATAAATATATATATATAATAGTTTTTATTGTTTTTTTTTTTTTGGACAAAGATGCTGCTAGTCATTTTTTGCTCGAAGTGCATCACAGCTTCAAGCACGCTTCAAAGAACGTTGCAGCTGGAGAGAGTGAAAAAAACTACCTCAGTCTAATTAGTCAACAATCAATCCTAGAGAAAAGTGATGTAACACAGAGAACAGCAATGAAAAAGAAAAGGGGAGAAAATCAAAGCACAAGACACAGTTTACACTTTAATAATTCCCCCTTCATGCATGAATTATGACCACCTCAGTCAAGATTTTTTTCCTAAGTGTTTCATTCCTCTTTAATTTTGTTTTTCTTTCTTGCTTTTCTTTTTTTTAAACACACATTTTTTTTTACGCCCACTCGGATGGAGAGCATGCATTTGGGTTTTCAACTTAAGAAATCTGTATCAACCAAACCCATAAATAAAATGGACTGCACTTGTATAGTGCTTTTCTAGTCCTCTGACCACTCAAAGCGCTTTTTGCACTACAAGTCACATTCACCTATTCACACACACATTCACACACTGGTGGCCAAGGCTACCACACAAGGTGCCACCTGCTACTCAGTACCCATTCACTCGCACACCGATGGAACAGTAATCGGGAGCACTTCTTCCTGACTCCCCACCTCATTCAGCTCCTTGCTTTTGAGTCCTCTACGATGCCTGATGTCCAATTTAGTGGACAGATGATAAAACATAAAATCAGTACTTGACAGTTTTAACAACTGTATTACTCTATAGTTGTTACTTGACATTACCTGATGTTATTTG